CGGAGCCCGGCAGACCCGGTCTGCCGGGCAGGCCAGACCGGCCGGGCAGACCGGCCTGACCGGGCAGACCCACGAGGCCCGGCGGACCGAACGGCCCGTTGTTGCCGGGCTCGCCGACCTTTCCTGAAACAGGAAGCGACGGAGGAGGAGGAGGAGGAGGATGAAGAAGAGGCGGAAGAGAAAAAATAAGAAATGTCGGTTAGAGCATGGAATGGCCAAAACAACAAACCGAAAATCATCAACCGATGCTGATGCTGATACTGACATCTATCTATACCTCATAGTCCCATCTTCACTCAAGCCAATATTTGCACAATGTCTGAATTAAATGCATAATATATTATGCCATAAGAGTAGGGCATACAGAAAAGTAACAAAAGGTGTCTGAGTGTAACAGAAAAATAAATTCCAAATGAGTAGACATTGAGACATTGGATTAGGGATCGCATAAGATGACGTAAGAATGACAAACTTGTACCTATTATTAAAATAGACGAAACTATTTTATAAGTAATGAGTAGAATTTTTCGACTATGGCTAAATGTCGGTAGGAAATTTAGCCTCTTTATGCCACAAAGGATGCTGTAAAATTGCTGACGGGATTGTTGCGAATGAAGCCAACTTTTGACCGTCATTAAAATCAACCATACTACTGTCTACGCAATGAGTAGTTATTAAGATTATACATGGAGTATGAAAATGAAATTTAGCCTGTTTATGTAGCACAATATGATGTGAGAATAATAGTGTAAGTGTCATCGGTAAGGAAAAAAATTAATGATGCTAATATACTTTTCATTTAGTTTATAAATGCTGATAAGGGGATTCATAAATTGGTCCTACCGGATAGCGAGTAGGGTTGTTTTAGAGCTGTGGCTGTTGGATTGTGCGAACAAGTCCTCAGCTCAACGTCTTGTGACCCCGATCCATCCGTCCTACCACATGCATCGTCAGAGTTGATAAGCAACATTTGCGAAAAATCACCAAAAAACACTGAACCAACATGAGTGGCCGGCTGGAATCACACTTACTAAAAATGCCTGACGAGACGCCCCATAATGTGTGTCTGCAACACACGAATGTGGACAAGCGAAGTTGATGCAAGAATGGGAGCAGACGTGATCACAGCTTCTCTGTATGTAGACACACCATCATGTGATCCTGTGATCTTGAGGCTTGTTTTAGCTTTGTGGATGCGTGTGCTTAATTTGTATGCCATAGTCACGAGTTATTTGCCAATTTGGAGCTCAAAACCAGACTCCAGATTATGCAAGTCCTGTCTTTCTCTACCTACATCTCTCTCTCTCTCATCTTATCATATGTTGGTTAATCTTATTCAGGATCAAGGTATGAAGACCAAGATGGTGTGGCCGTTTGTGTGGTCGCAGTCTCCTTTCGTTGTATATACGTTGTTTGACTTTTTTTTCGCAACTTGGTCATGTTGGTATGAAGACTTAGACGAACACACCTAGTCCGAAGTCCACTGTATGCATGATCATTTCCTGAGTTGGACTGTGAACAAGGTGTGATGCTAAGAATGGCGAGGTTCACTGACGATGCCGGAGAAATGTCTGGGAATGTACCACGTCCACGGTCCGACTTTGGAAATGATGATGCATACAATGGACTCCGGACAAGGTTCGTTCCTCTAAGTCCTTCTCCCGTATTTAACGTTGACAGTTTCGGGTACACAGCCATGAGCATGTTGCGAAAACAAGGTCAAAATTCATGATGTTCTAAGTTTTGTTAATTTTAATCGACTCCTTAATCTTCTGCTTGTCTGTGAAAAACTCTTTTATCCGGCAGTGTTCCGTCCTAGACCTTTTTATCCCATATCCTCTAATGATCATACCTTCGGCCTTCTCCGATGACCTATTCTTTGTGCGTCCACTGGCGTCAACCACATAGACACTACGAAATAAATAACCTTGGGCACAAAACCTTATATAAACCTGATCTGCGCAGGGCATCTGAAGATGTTCTAAAAGAAGGTATGACTAGGCAAAGTGTTAATATTTCTTTATGCAACTTCTCAGTGATTTGCCTATCTTTTCCGAAAGTCGGCATCAAAATTTTGAATTGAGAGTTGTTTAATTCCATGTTTCGTATTAAATGAAGGTTTCCTTTCATCCTATTTCTCAGTATTGCGAAATTGTTAAAAATTAATTCCAAGGAGCAATTTTTACCAATTAAGTTGTTTTTAATTTAAAAAAATTAATAGAGCAACTGGCAAGTATTAAGTAGGTTTCGAAATTATAACTCGATCTTAACAAGATCTCTAATAATTGAACGTCTCATGGGATGATGTAAATATGATATTGTGTTCGCTGTCGATGAGACAAACTTGATTCCATTATTTAAATCAACCAAATAACTGGCTAAATAGTGAGTGGGTTTCGAGAATATTAACAGCTTTTACCGAAATCTTCAACCTCTAAAGCAGCATAGAATATTGTAAGAATGATAATGGGATTGATAATAACGAAGCAAAGTTGTATGTGTCATTACAATCGACGATGCCACTGGACACGTAGTGAGTAAGTTGTGAAACTGCCAATTTATTTCGAGTACTAACTTTAATTATCTTAGGTTATTAAAGATGATTAAAGTAGAATTTTCTTGCTATGAAATTCAATTATACTGAACGCATCATCGAATG